TTCCTTGTTTTCATAGCTTGAATGACATAATTCTCACTTTAAAGATGTATGAGTATGCCCCTTGTTGCTTTATTGACAATTGATCTGTGAAATAATTGTCATCTAGTCTCATGTACTGTGCATCTCTAAAAGATTGGCTGGTTCTTTAGCATTCTGGTAGAGTCTGGGGTACATGTCCCAATTTTAATCATGGTAGCTGTCCTATCCTTTCTCTCTTGTAGGCTGGTGAACAAGAACCCATATCCTACTAAATCGGTGAAGCATGCAGTTGAAGATAAGAAAGCTGACTCGGGTGCTGCAACTTCACCAAATGCAGGTTGTTTCGAGAAATCCCATATGCCTCAAGAACTTCACCCGGAGGCAGTAGCTCGCCTGGCTTAAGATATCCGTGAAGGGTCTTTTATTTAATCGGATAATCTTATATTAACTGTGTTGTTGTTGTTGTTGTAAAATGTAGTCTAGGACTAGTAGGAATAATGATGTGTGATTTGCCCTTAATGAGGTAAACAAGCTAAGGATTTCCTGGGCAATTGAAACAGGTCTTCTGGTAAGTTTAGATGATTTGTCCTTGGGTTTGCCGCTTCTGTTCTCCAGTATTTGTTCGCTTGTTTGCCTTTTTGCTTCAAAGGCAGATTTCTGTCTTATTAGATGACTGCTATGGAGAAAGTGTTTGTCTCTGAACTGAATGATTAATGACAAACCAATTATCTAGGATCTGTTATTGGGTATTTATGCCTCTGCTCTTGTAATTAGGCTCTTGTAATTAGGCTCTTGTCCTTGTGGCTTATCAGGAGACTTGTAATGTTGCTTTAATGTTTTATGTGATCTCTGAAGTGTATGGTGTAAAGCTCATCCTTAACCCGTGAATAATCTTGGAGAGTATTCGCCCTACTCGCTTTGTTGTAACATACTGTGGAAATAGGATGAGAATGACACGTCAAGTTAATAATGAACAGAGAACTTATGGCCACAAATTTTTGAACTCAAACCATTGACTTTTACCTATCACGTTAATTGCAATGAAGAACATGGATGGGTGGGTGAGATTTTCATGGAAACAAGTAGTGACGAAGTAAAAGACAAACATGACATAACTTCGTTGAAAACACATGTTCAAAATACCCAGCTGTCTACAAACTGCGCATGATGATCTCTTGAAAGCTTTTACATTCAAAGTTCAACACGGTTGAGATCTCTCTACATAAAATCACTGTGTCCAATAACCACAAAGATGTTGGCCAAAAATTAAAAGTAACCACAAAGGGAGTATGCTCGCATGCATTCTAATGCAGACTACGCATGATGCCATGTAGGTAGCCCCCTGTCATCACAAGGGACACAAGAGATACAACACCAGCAGGGAAAACCTTCCCTGACCTCTTGAATCGGGAACCCATCATAACCAGAAGTGCAGCAGATATACCTTGAAATTGAATATAAGAAAAGAAGTCAGACTTAAACTTAAAATGGAGTTAATGGCAGATGATGTGAAATTTCTTCTGCTAAGACATGCAAAAGTATATTCTTAGCCCCAATATTTGGAAAAAAAAAATTGAATAAAAAAAATTGAAAGATTACCCCATTCCTCAGTATCTAGCATTCTGAAATTAGGTACAGAGAAATACTGTCCTCTTATATTCAAGGATAGACTGAAAACTACATAAGTTATCAAATTGCAGCGTTCTATGGAAGATGCTTAATGAATTCATAAAACTCAAGAGACCCTTTAAAAGAAATTCTCATTAATGTAATGCCTGTGGCTATAAAAACCTCTTACCTGAATTATGAACATCATTTTACAAACCAGAAACAAGTAAGGAGCTTGACAGAGAGAGTCAACTGAAAGAGTATCTGCTAGAATACATGGTTTCTACTCCTTGCTTAACCTATGAGCCACCAACTATGGCTTCTGTAAATTTGCAATAAATTTTCTCATCTATAAAACTCTACACGTACAACATGTTTAAGGCTTTAATGACACAATTGTCCTTTACACTTGTACATGCAAGAACTCTGAACTATACACTTATTGGTTCTTTTAGAATATTAACAAAATTTGTTTTATCATTGTGCATGCATGCACTTACATCCTATTGATGAAATTTATAGCAAAATAGTTATTCCAAAGGACAAGGAGAAGATATTCAAAATGAATACGAGCATTTTAGTAACCATTTCTTAAAGAACTTATTATGCCTCTCTCTCTTCCATTCCTATTCATATTCTCTCTTCTTCCTATCTTAGCATTGCAAAAGAGAATAATTTGTTGTTGATCTTAGAAAATTAGGCATTAATATAAAAACATTAAAAAAACGAGGGGAGAAAACCAAAACAGTTACTTACCAAGCCCTATGGAGGATGCAAAAGCTGGCCTTGTGGGAAGCTGAGTGAAAACATAATACAGCAGTGAGGCAGATAATCCTCCAGCTAGAAGTGACTTCTGGCTTCCACTCTTCATATAGCCCATAACACCACCCACTATCATGAAAAATTCAACCCTAACTTAATTAAACATTCCCACATTGAGTACTTGACATAAATATTATATCCAATAATCACTGATTCAACCTCAAAGACAAATTCTTTGATACTAAATTCAATCCTGATTAATTAAATTAAGCAATTCAACATGGAGTATAGAAACATGAATGCATCTAAGTACCACTGATTCAAGCTGAATTTTAAGCTAAAAGATTAATTCTTTGAAAATCATGTTCTGGGAAAACTTACATCCCACTAGAACGGCATATCCAAGGGTCAATTTCTGGGACATAGACAAACCCATCTTTTTCCTGCTCTCGTCGTCAAAAGCCTCCCCCTCTCCCTCGTCCCCTCTATCACCTCCGCCACTATTATCCCCACCACCGCCTCCTCCGCCGCTGTTGTCATCAAATTTGTCCCCACCGCCGCCTCCGGTGTCTGCCTCGAACCCGATCCCATCCTTCGCGGAACCGACGGTGTTGGAAACTATAGTGGGTGTACTTGCATCAGAAGACACCACCCCAGCTGCAGTGATCCCCTTCAATTGGAGCCGATGATTCCGGGGCACCGTCGCAAATCTCGGAAAGCGGTTAGCAGTCGAGATTCTGCTGTTGAATCCAAGTTTCGGTTGGGGAAACTGAAGAAGTGAGCTTTGTGAAACAGTAAACAATGACTCCCCCATTCGCTTATTTTCGATATGCCCTTTTTCCTTGCTTCCGTTTCCTTCGCTACTCCTATAGAAAGTGTAGTTCTTCAATTTTCATCGCGTTCCGTTTGGGTTCATATTTTTCAACAGTCCCAAAAGTGGTCCATCACGGGCCTTTTGGGTCCATAACTAGTATCCATTGGGTATGAGAAACATGCCGAGGGCTTTTTTTTTATACAAGGTAAGATGCCGCGTGATTGCACATAAACAAAATGGTATGCATCTAACGAACACGTTAGTGTCAATGGAATGAATTCAAATTTTTTTTATGATAAAATTTTAAATTTAAATTTTGTAAAAAAAAAAATAAGTAGTAGAAGAGTTTTTCTTTATAAGATCTAACTTAACTTAATTTCAGATTAATCAAGATTAAAAAAAAATGGTATGGGCAATTTTGAAAGAAGAAAGAAATATAGGGTTTTTTCATGAAGAAATGTTGTGTAAAATTGAAAAAAGAGGTGGCTTAAGACTCTTTTTTAATTGGTCCTTAAACATATTTAATTGGGTATTTTTTTTAGAGATTCTTAATTTCTAAATTGTTTCAAGATATGCCCTTTTCTCTTGCTTTCGTCTATTGGCCCCATAACTGGTATTTTACAATCGCAAGTCTCATCAAACTCAATTGAAATGTTCAATGAAGATACTGAAAGTTTTGTGAAAATTGAAATTGTTGTTACTAAGAAAAAAAAAAAAGGCGTCACTAATGAATAAAGAAAAAAAAAAGTGAGGTATAATGAGAATTGTTATGAGGTTTAGAGGCGATAGAAGTCAGCTCCATCGCTTTGACATGGTTAAACTGATTTCTAAATTCAAGATTGTAAATTTTGTATTTTATTAAAGTTTTAAGGGCGAATTGCATTTGTGAAAAAAGTTTAAGAATGAGGGGGAAATGAGTTTGTTTTCATTTTGTTAATAGTGGTCTCATTATTTTTTGAATGACTATATAAATGAGATGTTACCCTTATAAAGGATAAATGATCAATATTAAGAGATGAATGATCAATTAAAAAGGTGATTCGATTGGTTAAAATTCTTCAAAATATTATATTTGAACCTTAAGTCAGATAAAAAAAATTAAAAAAAAAAGAAAAAAAAACTATTTTTTCTTATATAATTTATTTTTTGATGTATAAAAAAAAGTCAACTATTTATAGTCTCCAAATGTGTAAAAATTAGCTTGGAAATACTCTAATCGTGAATAATAGGAAAAAAAAATTAGTTTACATATTTTACCCAACATTAAACGGAAGAAAAATCTTTAACGCATGCCAAAAAATAGAGGGGAGAATATTGTAAAATTTGTATTGATATAATTGGGCCTTCTTTCCTAATTATCTGGATCAGTTATCTTCATAGCAGTAGTATTATTCAATCTGGGCTTATAATAGCAAAAGCCCATTACGACACAAGACACTGAGACAGCCTCGAGATTCGTGCTCCCCGTCTGAAAACGCACAGAATGAAAGAGAACGTAATTAACGGCAATTTTGTCTTTAGTTTACTGAACACAGGGTTAGTATAATTTGTGTTTGATTAATAGTGTAATAAATACTAACTCAGTTCCACTTTATTAGAGGATTTAGGAAAAGATTTTTTTTTTATTTTATCTTACATTTTTAGTATATCAAT